CCCCAAAACCCCAAAACCCCAAAACCCCATCATCTCATATCGTATTCACATATTTGAAGTGATTAATTTAAAGAAAATAAAGACTCATTCAATAATTTCAAGAGCCTTAACATGATCAAACTTTTAATAAATTTTTCTAAATCCACCAAGTGGATATACCTTACGATTGTTACCATTTCCATCTGCGAAAGTATGATTATGCATCCATTTACCATAGAAATAATTATATTAATCGGTAGATAATGGCTGAATTTCATTAACAATCAACCATTAAATTCCAGATTAGCAAGGTGGTGTTGTCATTGAACCCTAGTAATAGAAGAGTCTTTTATTAAGAGAGGTGATATTTTTGAAGGCTTAAGCTAGATTAAACTTTTGGACATTCTTAGAGCTGTTGCCATTCAACACAAAGTTTTCAAGAAAAGGATTATGCTAGTATTTGGCATGATCTTAGTCATAAAACAGGGATACAACAGCTTAGGGTTAGCCTGTCATTTTATCAGTGTGAATGATTTACACTTCAACATCCATATGCAACTCATTTAACTTGTGTTCACTTGGAGCATGAATCTTTATTTATGAAGCTTGAAGGTCAAAACTTTAGCCGAAATGAGTAGTGAAACTCATATTCCCAAAATTCTCATATGCAGAGATAGTATCATTCTCATCTACGAATTGCAGATCCTAAATTGTTTAATAAGCAATGCTGAAATGAATGTTTGGAGATTATTTTATTCCATTGTAATCGTATTTTCTTCTCTGATTAGCTGCAAGAGGAATATGGATTGGACTTTATGATGCTCCCTATAATGTAAAGATTATGATAAGATTTTTACATAAACACAAGATTCAGGCCAATCGTCACCGCCTTTGAAGTAATCATACGTTTATTACCCAGTTATTGAATTAATTTAAGCTAGGAATGCTATAGTTATAATGGATTTCGATATTCCCCTCATCATCATCTTATTATATTTTTTTATGTCTTGATTTAATCTATAATCTTGAAATATCCTATATTAAGTTTGAGGGGTTTTGGGGTTTTGGGGTTTTGGGG